ACCAAATTGAAATAAGTCCAGAGACCCACTCACTTTTCACAATGAGTAAAACAAGGTCAGACTGGGCATCTTCCAAATGTAAAGGCTTAATTGGACTAATTCTTTCATGATAATAATGTATATTTAAGATAGCCACTAAAAATTGTCAATGCTAATTTAGTAGATCAATTCCATTAAATGCTTTGAACTTTTCACCACTTGCTAATCTCATCTATTAAAGCTGCTGTTTTGTTGAAAATCTGAAACTAGAACTTAATATCAAATTATAAAAATTCTAGCCAGATCTAAGAAATACTTCCTAATATGTGAAATATAACCTTAAACGGTCTTGAGTTTAAGTGCAAGATGCTATTCAGACAATTTCTTACCATCAAAATACAGAAAGAGAAATATTATCAGTCTACTAGCAATTGACACTGTGGTAAGAAGCTTACAGGGTTTAGCTCTGTTTTCCAGATACACATTTTATGTGTCTGAAGCAAAGTTTAACATTTGTGATTATTGATTATAGACAAACCTTCATACAACTGCATTGTTCATATTTTAAGAATTTAGGTAATTGTTTCATTCAGATCCATAAAAATGTTGAAATTTTGCTCAACATTTGATGAGCAACTTAAGCAATATAACTCATAAATATGAAAGTTTAATAGATCCATCAATTAGCTAATGAATTTTGAGAGAAGAGACTCCAAACCACTATCAAGTGGATCATGTCTCATTTGTTTGGAACCAGACTTCTAAGGCTATTTTTATTCCCTGTGATTTACCACCAGTATCCTCTGGGTGATAGTTGAGGAAACAGATGCTGGGAATCTCTCTCCACTCAGTTCCTGAGAGGAGAATTCTGACTCACAGTCCTGCCAGCTCTGGCTTTGTACTCACACAAGCCCAGGGTGGTGGAGTAAAACGTAAATGACTGCCTGATTTCCAGTCTCTCCCTGCCAGTTTCCTCAAAGTTTCCACTTACGCATATGACTCCTTTACCAAGTTCGTTTGAAGTTCCCATTCCAAAATCCTGAACGGCATGTTCCCAGGATACAGTTAATTTTTTTTTTTAACCCATTCAGTGGGGATTTTCCAACTGAAATAAAAGATAAATTGAAAACTGGGGACGGGGTATTCATTTTTTTATTTTTTCCCTCACTATTGATTAGTAGTACTGGTATCTGCACTGGGAAAATGCAGGGGGAAAAGTTGTAAAATGTTCCCTTCTGAACTCTAAGCACACTGTCTTGTAGAGAACCACAAACCTCCCCAAGTTTCCTGGATCCTATTACTTTTGTGAAAGGATTTTTACCTGAAATAGATCTGCATCTATATGGAGATCATATTTAACTTGTTGATTAAAAAAGTAATACTTATTAAATGTCCACAAAGTATAAAGGTTTATTCTTTTTTAGTTTATCTAGACTAAGAAGCCTATGGGGGAGGGATGGGGAATTTATGTGGCTTAAATGTACTTTCTAATGGATTTATAACAGAAGCATGTTATAGATTAAGAATTCAATCTCACAAGGCAACAGTTTCTATTAAAACAAAATCTTTTTTTAAAAAAACTTACTTTATTTTAAACAATAGGACATAGATTTTTCCCAATTTATGTAAGCCAATGGAATTTCCTTATCAAGTCCAATTGAATTACCTAAATGTTTATTTATTAATCCTGTTATTTAGTGTGACTTAATGATAACCTAGAATAATTGATTTAGGCTATTTTTACATTAGGAAAATTTAGCAATTGTTATTGCCTCAGATAAAATGAGTGAGATGCATGAATTAGATTTCACAACATAACTGCAACACCTTCTGGTGGTATAGCTATGTGAGACAAGTCAATTTACTAATTTAATGGAAATCTGTCAGTTCTTGAGAAGTTTATTAGCATGTATATCATGTATATCAAGTAACCAACTAAACATTAAATTTTTGCTTTTCTATCACAAAGATACTTAACCACACTCAAGTTTACCACTATGTATGTGATTCTTAGGAAGAACTTACTACTAGAATAGACATAGTGCCCCATCACCAACAAACAAATGTTTCTTACCAGTCACCAAAACAATAAATACAGTTAAACAAAATAAAATTATATGTATGCATATATCTGTATATATGTGTATACACACATACACACACAGAGACATTCACTATCCATTACCCTAATAGAAAACCACTTACATGCAAAATTTTGGTGAGATGTTCATAATGAGCAAAGAACCTTAAAATGCAAGAGATTCTCAATGGAAAATCCTATAAGCCACTACACAATAGGCAAAAAGTCAGCATGAAAGTTGACATTTAAAAAATCCATTATCCAGTAATACTCTACACAGATATCAAAAGAAAATTACACACATACACACAAAAAAGGACAATGTAAATGATACTGAACTACTTTTGCAGTTGCAACAAATAATTGATGTTTAACAGTTACACTCTGTGACTCTCACCAAAATAGTCAATTGATTCAGATAGATATTCGAGCAAAGAAAGTCAGTCAAATGTGCTAAGTTATCTAATCTAAACAACTATATGGCCACCCAAGCAAAGAAGTAAATTCACCACTTGCATATATTTGAAAAAAAAGACTGGGTCAGCAACATGCTTATGGTGACACAGACTAGAACAGAGCGTGACATTTTAAATGAATATGTCAACTCTGGTATACAAATTACAAGACTATAATCTCCCCAATACACAAATACAGTTGCCTCATTAAAAAACCCCAGGCAGCATTGACAAGGGTAAGACAAAAAACTCACATTTTAACATATCTCTGACCAAAAGACCTAATATGTGTAATACTGAGGGTCAGTCCTGAAGCATCTCAAGAGTTAAGTTCTGTTAGGAATAATTTTGAAAAAGTATCCCAGTAAGAATCAGACTTAGGCTAGTTCAGCAAGAGGAACTGTTCCATAATGAGGCTTAGCCTGGACCAGTCCCAGTAGAATTAATTTTGTGCTGTAGAACACCTAGATAAATTAGTTTTGCTTTAAATATTGAGTCCTAAAAGAGTTAAAAGAGGGAGAATATCAATCAATAATTTTTAGATTAACCACTTTGTATATGACAAAACAAAATTAACTTTGGCATTATAACCCTTTCTTCCAGCATTTCAGATGAACCCCAAGTTTAAAATAAATAATTGGAGACTTAAAAACCAACCAAACATGCACATTTGTTTCTTGGTACAGAATACTAACTCACTGCCCAGGATGTGAAAAGAGAAGAGTACTCACACATTTTTTCTAATTTATAAATATCATTACTGGTTTTATTTATAAAAATAATCACATCTGAGAATTAAGAGTCCTATAAATATAAAGAAAGATTTCTAAGGATTTTTTTTTAATGAAAATACAGAAGCAGTTAAGCTTTAAAATTATGTGATAAATAATATCTCAGTTACAAGTTAGCCTAAATTCTTTTTTTTTAAGATTTGTTTATTTATGCATACAAGAGCTGGGGTACAGGCCAGAGATGCTGGGGGTGAGAGGATTCAGAGACAGAGTGGAGAACAGAACTGACTGAAATATACTGCTGAGGGGAGCAGTGGGCAGGACAGGAGAGGTCTGCTTCGCCATGTGGGTTGCTCTCTGCCTGGCCGGGGATTGAACCCGTGCCGCAGAGGCTGCAGATTGCTTCATAGTACGGTGCTTAACTCCTCTAAATTCTTAAAATTAAATTTTAATTCATTCCTCCCAAAGTCTACCCATTTCTTCCCTTTTATAAAACTGGTTTCTATTGAAATATTTGTGCAGATTAAAAGCATGTCTACAAATAGCAACAAATTTTAAAAAGGTAAAACAAGATTCATTTCCACAGGAGATGAAATCAGGCTTTTAACCTGGCCAATTGCCCACATAAACACTTTTCAATGTTATTTGGTAATCATTTGGTAATTAAAATGGCAAATCACAACCACTCTTAATTTACATCCCAGTGCCAAAAAGTTATTTAGCAGATAACTAGAGATGGAGGAAATGTCTCTTTAACAGATTCTTCTAAGAATACAGCTACAGGAAGCATCCGGCTTTCAAACAGCCATAAAAAACAAGAAGCAGTTGAACAGTGGCACCCAGAGGTGAAAAGTATATTACTTCTAGAGATGACATGGTAAACCATAATCTGTTTCTCTGTCATCCTTTTTGTCACTTCCAGATTTTTCACTGGTAACATATCAGAAATAATATTTTCTTAATTACATAGCTGAAATGCTGTATTTTAACAAATAGAAATAAATACTTTATTTCAGAAAAAAGTACTTGGATCAAATTGCATGTCAGCTTCCCTCCTTCAAAACAATAAATAAGCCAACTGCACACCAGGCAGAACAGAATAGAATGGCCACTCACCTACTTAAGCCTATCAAAATTACCAGAAAAAACATTTTGAAGAAATAGTTCTGTGACTACTATATAATTTCCATATACTCCAGATTATGTTTTTTCAAAAAATGTTTGCTGAACAACCATATATCCTTTAAACCAAGTTACCAAGGCAGAGATTTTTAATTTTTAATTTTTTTAATTCCATAACTCCCATAATGCTGATAGCAGAAGATGGGGATGGGAATAAGAGTGTTGGACATGAATGAGAAAAGGAAATAAAAACACTGTTTTATTCCACAGGAAGTTTAAAAATAACAAAATCTATTTTAACCGAAATTAAAATGAGCCTGACGATTTTTAATTAAAGAAGTTCCATACCTTTGAACCTGTCAACTAGCAGCTGCATTAAACATTTGGCTGGTGCTGGGTTCCTAAACTAAACAGCCGAAAAATACCTCCTCCTGGGTCTAATCACCTTCAGGGAGCCTCAAATAAACCTTAGTTTGTGGGGCCAGCACAGGTCAGGTTTTTTAAGAGCCTCAGAAGACCAGTCTTATTTTTGCCCCTGAACTGAAATGCACACATGTACTTAGTAGAGAGGGTTTTCCGGCCCGTTATGCCTAATCTATCACCGGTTTTCAGCTGTTCCTGGGTTTCCATTACCTTTTGTCAGACGTTTTCTTCAAGATCCGCTGCTTCTTTTTAATCACCTAAGAACCAACATTGATGTGACAAGCTCCAGAATAAGGCTCATCCTTTCTGATCTGCATCTTCAGCCTAATGATGAGAAATGGGCTTCCAGAAACTTAAAAAAGGCAGGGAAATGCTGCCAAAGTCATTATCCACTACTTTGAATTGAAGCGATCAGCCCCTTTTTAGAAGAGTAATAAAATATAAACACTACAAAGCCTTCAGCATTTCATATGCAAAATGAAGATTACCCAGCGCTATTCAAAAGAAAAACAAAACACTTCATTTCTACTATGAAAAGCAACATCAGAATATAGGCTCAATTTTGTATATCAAGCAAAGCGTTCAGTTGTCAAAGTGTTCGGTTTGTGCCCAAACGAAAGGTTATTATTAAAATAATCTCTCCCTTTTTTGATACCTTCTAGTTTTTGTTTCCCTTTCCCATAAAACGCAGTGTCCTTGCCTAAATCAATACTTGGGCATTAAGGTGTAGCTTCTAAGTCTCCAGCATGCTATTTGTCCTTGAATAGGCTGTGAAATGCAGCGAAACGGCTGTCTCCCTGCTTATGGTTAAGTCTCACACAGTAGAATTGCAGGTTTTCTCTACTCAAAATTACACCATCAAAAACAAACAAACAAAAAGACCACCATCATTGCCCATATTTGGGGATCCCATTACAATAACAGTTTGAAGGAGCACCGGGCTTACAACAATTTGGAGCCGACCTTACGGAAACTGTGCTCTTGAATCCTTTTGATCTTTCCAGCCATTCTTAGAAAATCCACAGCCCTTCCCAGGCCTGAGCCTAGCTGAGGCAACACGCAGCGTAGATCTGGGCGCCATCTAGTGGACTCTATTGATCAGGGGCAGTCTTCAGGACATTATGGGGCTCATCCAATATTCCGGGAGCCACCCCACAGCCACCTAGAAAATAAAAGGCTCTTCAAACACAATAGAAGCAGTGGGGAAGGAGACATCTGTAGGAAAAGGAAAAGAATATATATTAATTCAAATGATTCGTAGAGGAATTTCACAACTAATTTTTCTTTTTTTTATTTAAATTTTATTTTTGTATTCCCCATACAATTACGACCCCCTTATTTTGACCCCAATCCCTCCTTTCCCCGCCCCCCACCCACCATAGAGTGTCTCTGGTTCATAGTCACAACTAATTTTTCAATATGCATTTTAAGTCTTTGAAATGCCCAAGTGCTTTATTATTTATATATTTCTTATGAAAAGGAAAATATGGAAAGTCCATTTTGCCAAAATGTTGTCATTTTTCTTACAATCTGCCAGATTGGATAGTATAGCGTTTCATTTTACCTTAAGGGTTTATAATTAAATGTGCCAATCCAAATGGGGTGGAATCCTTATTTTTCCTATCATGTAATAAATACATAAGTTATAAAGATGCTGTTTACAAAATACTGGACCAAATATTTCTCCCTTCTCTATCCCAACACCATCCATTCCTAACATCCTCCAAAAGAGTTCTCACTCTCTCCCCACTTCATTCCCCTTCTGGATAAAGGAATTCAACTTTCTTCCTAGCAGAGTTGTAGCTATTACTCAGTGTAAGATCAATTTCAAAATACAACTCCTGGAAAGTTATATCCCCTCCTGATCCACAATCACTTCCTACTCTACATTTCCAAACATATTGGAAATATTCTAAATATTAGAATTTGGAAAGAAATTCCAAACATTTTGGTTAACATTGCAACTTGTTTCTGATTTCCTAATGGTTCAATGGGACAAATAGTATTTTTGTGTGATCTACAGCTTCTACTGCAGTAGAAAAGCTATTAAATATTGAATAAAGGGCTAGAAGTAGATAGCTGTCTCTGTCAAGGTAGTTAATAAATACTCTGGTTATTCTGCCCTTTTGATGGGCTAAATATATCAACAATAACTAACATTTATTGAGTCTTACTAAAGCTGGCTCTCTGGTAAGTACTTACACTTTTTTTTTTTTTAAGATTTATTTATTTATTTATACAAGCACTGGGTACAGTCAGAAGCGCGGGAGGGTGAGAGAATTCACCAGAGCCGGAGCAGGGAGCAGAGCAGGCAGAAGGACCGAAGTACACGGCTGAGGGGAGCAGCAGGCAGCAGGAGAGGTCTGAGCACCATGCCACCATGCGGTACCCTCCTTCTGTGGCCGGGGAGCAGCTGGGGATCAAACTGGCGCTGCAGAGGCTGCGAGCAGCTTTGCAACCCAGCACCCAACCGCTGCACCACCGGGGAGGCCCAACACATTTTCTTACTAAATGCTCACAACAGCCCTATGAAATAAATACTACCATCCTTATTTTACAGTTGAGGATAAGCTGAGTCTGAAAGGTTGAGAAATTTGCTTGACACTTGACATCCATAGGAAGAGATGGAACTCCCTCTGACCTCAATCTGATGAGCCTGAGACTATACTCTCAGCCCCTGTGCTCCACTGTGACTCTGCTGTATGTTGTTACTAAATATCTGATACACTATGATCTTATTACTGGATATATTATATTTCAATAGTCTCTTTGCAAAAATTAGAGTTATCACTATATTCCATGCAAAATCAGTTATTTTCAATAGTTGCTAAAATTATTCAAGTTGTTAATATTTTTACCATGTTTGTTCTTCAAAGAAAGAGCTTACTATAATCAAAAGATTTGTACAGAGGAAGGAAAAGAAATTACTTTGCTGATCAAAGGACTGATGTTGGAAAATATGCAAGCTGACTGCATTTAGCTAAGAGTCAACAATGAAGTGGAAGAGAAGGGGAAATGGGAGATGTAATAAGTGCTGCTTTGTTTTTTCAGCTCACCTGGTCTCTTTAAACTTTTTAATTTAGGAATGTTTCTTACAGTTCTAGGTTTGGCCTCATGAGTAAGCCAATCAAGGATCCCACAGGAACCACCTGTAGTGTTTCATTTCAAGGAACTGAACAGGGCAACCAATCCCTTAAAATATTCACAAATATTTAAAATTGCATTCTTAGAACTTTGACTAAATTTACAAAGGAACAGTGACCAAAATCGCTTAAAACTGGGAATAAAGCATAACATGAATAAAGAACATGGCAAAATCCTGTGATGAAATATTATTCATCATTGAAAATGAATGCATTAAAGCCACACACAACATGGATTGATTGCAAAATATAACTTTAAGCAAATGAAGCAAGACCCACAAAAAAATACACATAATTCCACTTGCAGGAAGTGCCCACACAGACAAAAGTAAAATCCATTATTTAGGGATGCATAATTCAGATGGGAAAAGCTGAGAGAAATTCAAGGGAATGATGCCATGAAAGTCAGGCTAACGACTGCCTGTGAGAGGAAGGGGAATGGGACAGGGCAGAGACACAGGCACCTTCTGGTTCTCTGGCAGTGCTTCTTCAAATTGTACACTTATACTGTGCTCGCTTTTCCATTTGTATAGTTCCCAGTAAAAATGTAAAATAAGCACATCCAAGAGTCATTCTTAAAATGGATCAGGAAAAAGAATGCTTTCAGCTTTATGTTTTGGTGAGAAAAAATGTACTGGCTCTATGATTGCAAGCAGGATTGGGAAGAGATAAGACCAAAATAAGCCTGAAGACTCAATTGTAGAAGAGGATAGTGGTTGGATTGTGAGTCTTAGAATCAGTCAGCCCTGGATTTGACTCAAAGCCCTGCTACCCACTGAGGTCCTTGGGCTGGTGAATTAAAAACTCTAAAACCTTCCACTCAGCTCTGAAATAAAGATCAGTGTAGGTCATTATCGGGCTGGTTTTCATTCATTGCCCAACTCATTTGTTTGGTTTTCTTTTTCTTTTTTTGAGATTGGAAGTAGAGAAGAAAGATGCTACAGGGAGGAGAAAAGGAGAAAAATAGAGACTGCACTCATTGTATTTCCTTTCCACACATCCCAGGGTCACTCCTCAGCCTGAGGGCCTTCTTCATGAGCCACTCACCTGACAATGCTCTAGCAAGAACCAGCAGGGGCATTCTTGTCGCTGAACCCAGCGAGCCTCTCATCTGTACATCATTTGACTCTGTTAGCTGTTCTCTTGTCCTGGGAATTTTCTGCCCTGGGCTTCTTCAACACCCAGAGTAGTCTCTGTCTCACCAAATCCCTACCACTGACCACAGGTTTTTGTTATTTCCCACAGGTTTTTGTTATTTCCTCCGAGAGCCTAACTGGTCCCCTCTGGTGTGGCCCCCTCCCTAATTCTTTCCCTACACTTTCACCAGAGGGTTTATCCTAACATGGAAATCTCATAGTGCCTCTTGCGCAGAGGCATTCTATGAAGCAGTATGTCCCTTAGCCCTGAAATCTGTCTATCTGCTAGTTTCCAGGCTCATCTATTGCCATACTAACCTACTCAAATTCATTGGGATCCTCTTGCTTTTATACCACCTGTTCACCCTCTGCCTGGAGATACATACATATTTTTTTTTAATAGAGGCATGTTTTATTTCTTTATTTGTTTGTTTGTTTTGTTTATACATGCACTGGGTACAGTCAGAAGCGCGGGAGGGTGAGAGAATTCACCAGAGCCAGAGCGGGGAGCAGAGCAGGCAGAAGGACCGAAGTACACTGCTGAGGGGAGCAGTGGGTGGCAGGAGAGGTCTGCGCGCCATGTGGGACCCTCCTCCGGTGGCCGGGGAGCAGCCGGGGATCGAACTGGCGCCGCAGAGGCCGCGGGCAGCTTTGCAACCCAGCGCTCAACCGCTGCGCCACCGGGGAGGCCCTGGAGATATATACATATCCCAGAGGGAAAATGCCCTGAAACACAAGCTTGGGTATATATATATATATATATATATATATATATATATATACACTTTGAACTGTACAATGATTTTATTTATTTTATAACTGAAAAATATCTGATCTAAAGTAAATTAAATAAAAACATACATAGATTTGACTCAGTAGATTTCACAGTGAAATCTACATCTTTTATTAAATATTCATTAATCATCTATGTTACTCACTGGCAGAACAAGTTTTAAATATAAATATGAAAAATCCAATGCCATAAAAACATAGCCTTTGCTATTCTTATTTTTGGTGTTTAATATTGCAACTCAGATGTTGCTAAATTTCAAATGCTGGTTTTGAAGACAATAAAAACAGAACAAGGGAAATGAAGGAAAACAGAACTGATTAGATAGAACTGCATGAGGACACTTGTATGGCCTTTGTAAATGTGAGGACATGATCTTTGGAAGATATTCTTGATCTTTAATTTACATTATAGTATGTAATATACTTGTAATTTTTAAACCATTAATCTAAGAGTGAAGGATCTGTTTGTCTTATCTACAAAACTTACTTTCCCTCTCTGAGTTGCTCTCCCCAAAAAAGAAACAACAAATGTGAGCCACTTTATTCAGAAGAGAGAATTTCATGACAATAGAATTATTATGACAAACATTTTCCACGCTTTATTCTTCATGCCCAGAACGACATTGGTAAGATAAGACACTTTAGAAGTCAATAGCACTTATTTTAAAGTTTAAGCTATCATGTTTTAAAAAAGTCATTTCCTTAAACAGGAAATATATTAATAATGACACAAAAGACAGTACCAGTCATACTATAGAGCACAATGTTTCCTTTCAAAAAGAAAATAATTTCCTTATCCTCAAAGGGTTGTTATTCCATAATGCAGTTGTTCAAAAAATAATTACAGAAGGGGAACCACCTCGGCACCCTTCATCTCACATTCACATGTTTTGCTGAGTTCTTGTCATTTGATATAGCTAAAGGTTTAAATTGAGACTACCTGAGATTTATAGTTGCATTAATATTCTCTTTCTTACCAATGCAATAATTTTTATTTTCTTTACACATATTTTTACATCAACATTTGCAAAACTATCATGTCTTTGCAATTGATCCATTCAGTTAAGTATTACAGTCCCAGGAAGCTCTGCAATGAGTGACTTATTAAAATACATCTTTCCAGACTGTTTAAGTGTTTAGAAGCACTTAAAGAATAGAATTTC